TTGTACATGCGTATGTGATCCATTTTTTGCCTATTTTTTTATGTTTTGGGGTTTTTTTTTCCAACTTGTTGCTGAGCAGATTAAAACACATCAAAACGTGTCAAAACAAATCAAAACACACTACATGCATTTCTGCAGCTTCTCCATTGAAGTCTATTGAACCAAACTGCAACGTTTTGCATTTAAAAAAGTCCCTGACCCTTTCCAAAAAACACACCGGGTGAAAATGCAGGGATGTGAACGTGTTACCTAGGAAATCATGTTAAATGGACTGTGGTGTGTTTCTGCAAAATGCAAAACGCACTGCAAAATGTGTGAACCTAGACTAAGGTATTATTCCTTATTACTGCACCTCTAGACTTAGACTGCTTTCACACTGATACGATTTTCTTTCATTTTTGTGTTAAAAAAGCAGAAGAAAAACGCATGACCATTAAATCTTATGGAACACTTCACACTGGACAGTTGTGGGTCTGTTGCGTTTTTCAAGGTCTTGCTTAATGCACTTTTGGTGCAGTAAAAAAAAAACGCACCTCCCCATTGAACTGAATGGAAAACACATCAAAAACATACCAAAAACGCACCTGCTGTTGCATTTTTGGTGTTTTTGAGTCACTTTTTTTTTTGCACAGGTGCAAAACGCACCAGAAACTCAGCAAAAAAAACCCATATATGTTTTCACTATGTTTTTGCAATGGAGCAGTGAGAAAGTAGCCTTAACAAGCAGTTAACCCTTGTGAGGGGGGCCAATGGCATGGGTGAATTTTCTTTTGTACCCAGAGTTGGGCTTTAACCTCTGTTCTGTTGTGAGGTCACGCACAACTCCTCATACCATTGGTGTTCTGGTGTATCCTCTTGGCCTGGCTAATTGGTTCTCACATATTCAAACATCCTATAAACTGGGGGTCAGCAACCAGTAGATTGTGATCTACCAATAGATCTCGGCCAGGTGACTGGTAGATCGCGGTCTGGGCTTGCTGACCCGCCATACCAGAGCATCAAAGAGAGTGCAGTGCAGGGGGACTACTTGTAAAGTCGGATCTGTAGGAGGGAGCAAGAGCTGCATAAGCTGATGCCTCCTCTGTAGTGCTGGCTCCTATTCCCTGTCATGGTTGGTATGTGTAGCACCTGCCAAGCATGACCCATTCAAGGCACCACCTGCTTTAACCCCTTGCTGCAGGGCACTTGCAGACTAGGCCCATTTAGTTGAATGGGTCTCGACTAAAAGGCAGTAGCACCCTCCAAAAGCAACAGGAGATGTGACTCTGGGTGCAGCATGCAGGGCTGCTGTTAGAAACCACGGGGCCCCATACAGCCAACCTGACAGGGCCCCCTCAAATAAACGCTTTGTTTCATTTATGAATGAAAACAGTAAGTGATGGGCACCGATCACTCATTGTGTTCATTCAGAAAAGTAAGGAGCAGGAAAATGTGACATATTTAATGGACACTTCCCACACTCTCCATCCTGAAGGATCCTATCGTGTGCATGCAGCTGCTAGTGGGAAAGAGACGAGGAGATCCAGCAGCATTGCAGGGGTAAGGTGGGTACACAGGGGGCCTGGGCAGTAAAAGGAAACATATGCTGTACAGGGAGGGTGATCAGCGCGGTGGGGAGCAATTACTGGAACTGATCCCCTGTATGGCTTTCTCTGCAGCAGCTGAAAGCAAGCAGGAGGGAGAGGAGAAGAAGCCAGCTTTCAGCTGCTGCAGAGACAGACATACAGGGGATCGGCTCCAGTAATCCCCCCCCCCCCCAACGCTGTGCCGAACACTCTCCCTGCCCACATCTGATTCACCCCCCTGCTTTCCTGGGCCCCCTACAGTAGGACCAGTGGTACCCCCTTATCCACAGCTCTGGTGGCATGTGTACACTTTTGGTTGCTGCCTCAGCAGCTAACGGGGATAGGGATTAGGGGTGGTGAAACCATGACTAAACGACAGGGTTTTACCACCCCCGAACTTTACATGTGAACAAGCCCTAACAGTAGCCGAGGCAACTAAGGGCTCACTCACACACGTAGCACGCACTGCTGCTCATCTGCAAAGCGATCCAAGTGTGATTGACAGGTGGTGGTAAAACTGTAGCTGCTGACTTTTAAAAAACAGCCACTCACCTGTCCCTCGATCCCACGGTGTCCCAACACCCCCCCCCCCCCCCCCCCCCCCCCCCCCCCCGCAGCCTGTTTCACCGTCCGCCCTGTGTTCCCAGCACGGGCATCGTCTTTGTGGGCACCCAGCTGTGATAGCTTGCGGTTTCACAGCCGGATGCCCATTGTGCATACATGAGTAGTGCTGCACTTTCTGAATGGTCCCGTAGCCTTCTAGGATTTGTCACACGTCCCAGAAGACTACGGGGAGGGAGAGGGGAGGCCAACTTCCGCTTCCGATCGCCTAGGCGCAGCGGAAGTGGGACCTGTCAATTTCGGGTACCCGCTCCCCAAAGGTACCAATCCTTAACAGGGGGAGCAGGGAACCAGTCCTTAAAGCGGAACTTCCCCTTTTGGGTGGAACTCTGCTTTAACAGCTTCCTGACTGAACTATAGCAAAAGTAATGCTACTGGGTGGCAGGGCTGCGCAAAATCACAAATATATACGCGATATTGCATTTCCAGGTTGGGTGCGTGTGCCGCCATTGGCGGCTACAGATGTCGATCACTGGGTCTCGACTGAATATCACTGACTGGGAAGAGACCTGTGTGTAAACAACACAGGTCTCTCTTCTGCCAGCAAGAACATGCTGCTGTGTATTTTTCTACACAACAGAGCAATACACAGCAGCATGTCTCCCTAGTAAAACACACACAACACACACAGTAAAATAGCACACAGTTAACCCTTTGATCGGCGCAGATGTTAACCCCTTCCTGCCCAGTGTCATTAGTACAGTGTCAGTGCTTTTTATTAGCACTGATCACTGTATTAGTGTCATTAGGATGTCAGTGGCAGTTAGTCAATTCAGAATGCCCGCCACAGTCTTGGTATAAATCGTTGTGATCGCCGCCATGACTACTGCACCATAGATAGGCTTGTCCACTCCTACTTCCACCATTGCCTATCCATACCACCCAAACCCCCCCCCCCCCCTTTAACCAAATAAACTTTATAAAAACATGACACCATTTTTTGGAGTAAATGGCCAACATGGCCTTTTATTAACAACTTCACAATTTACATACATCAACCGTTCCTTAACGAAACCAAAGAATTGTTGTTGGTCTTCAAAGGCACCCACAAACGATCCAAAATGCACCTGCGGACAACCCTATACACTAGGCCTCCAGCCGCAACCAACCAGCTTGGAGACAACCATACCGTCCGCAGTGCAGCACCACCACCTTCCAGCTAAACCTTGGTTAACTGGGAATATCCACCTGGGCCCCCCATACCACGGATGGGGTCCCACACCATTGTTTTCCTTCCAAGATGAGAACCGCCTCCAAAGACCAACAACCGCCCACGAACCAACATAAAACCCACCTCACCAACCAGGGTTCTTTTGTTTTTTTTTTTTTTTCTATTTGTCATATGAGCTCGAGTTACCCGCGCACCTGCCCCCGGACAAGACCCTATACCCAACCTAACAGGGAGGACGGGAGGGAAGCTCTGGTCCTTGCACTCATCCAGCTGCACTGACGCCCCTTCCGCAGCAACCCCCACCCTACGGTGCCACAGACACCTCCTACACTCCACGTCTGCCAATCCAATAATTCCCAATCCCATTCCCCACCCCTTGGAGCTAAATTTTAACCCTTTCCGTTCCCAACCACTCTGGGCCTAGTCATGTATGCCCTGCGCTATTTCCATTCTTCCCTATTCGCTACGGGCATTTCTTTACTAGTACAAAAAAAATTAAAATAATTCCAGTATATATACCGCCATTAGTAGTCGCTATAACTTTCACATAAACCAATTAATTTACAGGTATTGGGATTTTGTTTTAGCAAAGACATGTAGCAGAATACATTTTGACCTAAATTTAAGAAGAAATTTTGTTTTTTAAAATTTTTTTACTGGATACGTTTTTTAGCAAAGTCAAAAATATTGTTTCTTTTTTCTTTTTTTGTTTATAGCACACAAAATAAAAAAACGCAGAGGTGATCAAATACCACCGAAAGAAAGCTCCATTTATGGGAAAAAAGGACATAACTTTTATTTATGTACAGCCTTGAATGACCACGCAATTGTCAGTTAAAGTAACGCAGCGTGGTATCGCAAAAAATGGTCTGGTCAGGAAGGAGGGCTAGTGGTTAATGGAGCCTGCCTTCTGAACTAGAGTTGTTGAGAGCAGGAGTTTTAGGAGGCGGAGTCAGTATAGGAATCACTGCTTGCATGCAGCAAGGTACCATGGGATATGTAGTCCTTAGAAATGGGAAGTAAACATCAGAGAAGCTGCAAAGCATGCTGGGATACAGGAAGTTGTGGATTGAGATGGCCAGCAGACAGACAGAACTCACAACATGAAAGGAGATTTTTTCAAGTAAGCTTTTATTGCATTGTCAAAATATAACTATTGTTTTGTTTATTATAATGCTGATGTTATAAAATGAAAAACTGTATGCTGTAACCAGAGATTTCCTGTAACTAGACCCAAAGAAGACAAAACTGGATATGATGCTCATATATAATAGAATGAAAGAAAGCATGCCTGCCCTCTCAGTGGTGGATTTATTGTAGAAAAGTTTACTTATCCCAAATAGACAAAACCGTCCTTTCCCCCCGAGAGTACCCCTCTATATGGGGACCTATCAACACTAAATAGCTTCTTTAAAGCTTCATATAAAGACTGTTTATAAAAGTCGCAACTGATTATCACAGTCCTATGTGGTTAAGGGCCGATTCACACCAGAAACTGCATGGCTACTGAACATTTTTTTATGTATGTTTGCATGTATTGGATGCATGCTTTTATGCTTATTTACATGCAGTTAACTCCATCTGCATTTGTCCTTGGAGGTCACTGTCACATGGGGTCCTGCGAGACTCCGAACTGTTGCCTTGCTGTAACTATGTGATCATTCATGAAAACGTTTGGACCCATATTGGTGATCCTCGGTGTGCTGGTGACATTCTCCCTTGCTGATTCTGTTCGGTTCCAGCCGACGGTCGCTGCAGCACCCACTTATACACACAGCCATTTTTAACGCAGGAACGTGTGCGTTAGTATTGTACACTTGCCCCCTTAAGACCCATACACACGATAAGAAAATCGTACAGAAATGTTTGTGCGAGGAGCGAGCGATCATACAATAATCTAATCGTTAGTACACAGCTTTCAAGAGCCAATCACGACAGTTCATGCGACAATAACCTAAGGCACAAGTGCAAAAATGCTTCTCATACTTTACCTGATTGTACAATTTTTGTTTAATCAGTACAGTAGTTGTCCGATAATACAATACAAATACAGTACAATGCATGACATCACTTCCGAAATTCTATTCTGTCGTAAACATTTTTCATAAGTTGAGAAACCTCTTCATTTTTGATATGAAGACTAGCATGCAAAAAAATCCCCCAAGAACGGACGATCATTCGTCTGATATTCTCATCATGTGTACTAAGCATTAGGAAGCTTCACCCTCTCCATTTGTCCTGTTTACCATTATCACGGAAAGTGAAAGTAAAAGAAAATACAAAATTTTGGGCTGTCCCCAAAAAATTAATAAAGGGGAAACCTTCCAAGGGGGACACTAGTTCTGGTGACCTGGGGGTCCCCCAAGGAATTTCCTTAATTTGCAGAGATTTTCTATGGGACAGGAAGTGAAGGGAAAATTATTACTATTATTATTACTACAGGTACTTATATAGCACCATCAATTTGCACAGCGCTTTACATTTATATTGTACATTCACATCAGTCCCTAACCCTCAAGGGGCGTACAATCTAAGGTCCCTAACTCACATGCATACATACACATACTAGGGCCAATTTAGATAGGATCCAATTCACCGACCAGCATGTCTTTGGAGTGTGGGAGGAAACCAGAGTACCCGGAGGAAACCCACACAGGCACAGGGAGAACATGCAAAACTCAGGCAGGAGGTGCCGTGGCTGGCATTTGAACCAATGACTCTAGTACTGCCAGGTGGAAGTGCTAACCATTTAGCCACTGTGCTGCCCAAAGCACAAAAAAAATCTGACGGGGGTCATAACTGTCCTTTGATCTATCTTAAATGAAAAACAAATGCCTGTAGTTGTACTTTCAGTGGAGTTCTAATGTTTTGTAACACAGTTCATGGTAAATATGACCCTCCACAGAACCGCAGATGAGGATCAGTCATAAAGTACACAGTGATTACAGCTAAAGTGCCATTAAGGGAGGTGAGGGGGGTAGGTGGGCCTTTAATCATCCTCGTTGTAGTAGAATGCCGCTGATCTACATGATAAGTATAGCATAAGGAATATTTTTACCAGCCCTTAGGTGATTACAGATATTTCACGATTACTTCCACAGCTTGGGTATCAACAATCTGCATATAAGGTGCATGTACAAGATATATCAATTGTGGCACCTATGTTCCTTATAACTCCTGGACTCCCATCAGGGAACAATAACATTAACACGTTTCAAATCACAAAGCTTGTGCTTTAAATATCCCATTTAGTGGCACTTTAGAGAATAGGGGATCAGTTCACTAAGAGTTAAATAATGGCTGAATAAAGTGGTAAAATAACGCATGCGGTAAATCTTTTGCAAATGTGCAATTCAGTTCACTAAGAATTTTGCGGTAAATAACTCTTGCAGTAAAATAACAGTATTGTGGTAATTACCGCATATTTTATCACACGGTTGCTGGTTAAGGAAGCCGGCTGCCACGTCCTTAACAACAGAGGACTCATCAGCTGTCAGAGGGTGTCCCGCTGACAGCTGAATGTAAACAAAATATGCCGGCTGTCAGCGGATTTCCCGCTGACAACTGAACATAAACAAAACATGCTGGCAATTAAAAATTATGAAAAAAAAAAACAGCATGGGGGTCCCCCTGATCCATACCAGACCCTTCGGGTCTGGAATGGATTTTAAGGAAAATCCCATGCCAAAATTACAAAAAAAAAAATAAAAAAACAGCCCTTAGGTCTGGTATAGATTTTGGGAGAATCCCACAGCAAAATTAAAAAAGAAAATGGCATGGGGGTCCCCCAAAGATCCATACCAGACCGAAGGGCCTGGTAAGGATTGGGGGGAGAGGGGACCCACGCTGCATCTGAAAAAATACCGCATGTGATATTGCCAGCAAAACCCTGGTGATAAATATTGCATCATTTTTTACTTTCTGTTCCATTTGTGAATTGGATTTAACAGCTTGCCGCAATTTTTGTTTTTTGCAATATTTACCGGAAAATTTGTCATTCTTCATTAAAAACCACATAATCCTTTTTTTTGTGAATTGGACATTTTTTTAAATATGGGATAATATTTTCAAATGAGTCATGTGACTATCGCATGTGGTAATCTTTAGGGAACTGACCCCTAGATCCTGATATAGAGGGGGTACTCTTAATGAAGGTGTTATTAAATCCTCCATGAAGAAAATAAAACTTGGCATCATATCTTATGTTGATATTTGTTTTCAGTCACGTTTTTGAGTTCAGTTGGCGTTTGCAGCATAATTAATAGATGAGTAGAACTATAGCAAAGGAGTAAAACTTATTTTCTTCTATAAGGATTCCCTTATAGTATCTAGAAGGGCTCCTTCTATTGCAGTTTTCCCAGAGCCACTTATGCGCATGCTCTCGGCTGTGTCATTGTGTAATTGTTATTTTATTACATGTTGGGGTCTTAAGCACTGTGTCTGTTCTGGTATAACCTTCAGTTGTGCATGGGTTTTTACTGTTATCTCTGTTCCTGTTTAAGAGCTTTCCTCTCACTCCCTGTCATGACGGGAAGTGATGTAAAATCACTCCAGTGTGTGGCTCTTTTCTAACTCCTGCCAAACGCCCCTATAGTGTTTGACAGTCATTTGACAGGGGTTAGGGAAGCGTTTTTAACGCTCCCCAAACACCCTATGCGTGTTTTTGAGGCATTTGATAGGCTTTGCAAAGCGTTAAAACTGCTCCACAAACGCCTATAATGAAGTTTAATGGTATTAACCAGGGGTGGACTGACCATTAGGCATTCGTGCACTGTCCGAGGGCCCGGGGTCAGTAGGGGGGCCCCATGAGATGTCCCTGGTACCTTTCGTAGGTTTTTTTTGGGTGTAGTTTGAGTGTTGGCGAGGTCACAGGGGCCCCATGATTTCCTATTGCTGGGGCCCGGAGTTGTCAGTCCGCCCCTGGTATTACCGCTCTGCAAACGTCTCGCAAACGTCTGCCATACGTTTGAGAAGCGTCACCATGGACTTGAATGGGAGGCTTCAACTTCTCCTGACTCGACATGAGGCATCAGTTTTGCCACGACGCTAACTCTTCACTTTGTGCTGCCATGTGCAGAATTTTCATAGACGTTTAAGAAGCATTAAAAATGCTTCCCAAACGCCTGTCTGATACCTGCTGACAAAGCTAGTGTGAACGTAGCCTTAGCGAACCTGTTGCTGGTGAGCCACCACTAATATCATGATCTTCAGAGTGACATTTTAAAGCCCCCTCCTCTTAAAGCCCATGTGTTCATTGCCAATACAAATTTATACAAATAATTCCTGGAGTTCTGCTTTAAACATTCTCTACTGAATTAAAAAACGTTGTGTAGATGTGTGTGTAGTATATATATATATATATATATATCTACACAACTTGTTTTTCACTGCGTAGAGAATGTTTAATGCAGAACTCCAGGAATTTTTTGTATTGCATACTTACAATGGTTGAGCTTGGCAAAACGTAAGTATGCATATCTCATATCTGATGGACCACCAGGGAAGCTGTAAATCACTGTAGTAGTTGGTGCTACTACAGTTATAGTCGCAATTTTCCTGGTCCATCTTAGTTTCTATGCAGTCCACTGCCGTGCAGTACAATGACCACAGGGGGTCACTCACTTGGCACCACTAGCCCTCATAGAGGAATGCTTGTGATTTTTTTTTTTTTTCGTTCTGATTAGACTAGGTAGAAAGGGGGGGGGGAGATGTTACAGTCTTCACCTCATTCAATCAGATCATGCCAGTGTCCAATGGAACAGCCATCACATAGAGCCGCATCAGGAACCAGAAGATGACGGCTATCACTGTTGTAGCACGGACCACTATAGCAATGCAGCTTTGCCAGTGGTCCATCTGATATGCGATATGCATACTTACATTGTGCCAAGCTGGACCAATGTCAATATGCAATACAAAATAGTTCTGGGGTTCAGCTTTAAATCCTCTGCCAGGATTTAAGAATCTGAAGAAATGGACATGTTTGACCGTTTTCTATCTTTTCTGATACTGCTTTTGTACTTGTGAAAATTTCTAATAAAAATAGATTAAACATAAATCCTCTGCCAGTTTTTTTAAGATCATCTGTGTCCTATTGGGGAGTTTCCCGTTTCCCTTGGCTAAATCCTCTTTTAGACAAATGTCAGCAGATGTCCCAATTGAAATATTTCCCCTATACTGTATTTCTTTTCTGGAGTACTTTAAAATATTGGATCTCCCATCACTTTCAGATGTAGTGACAATGGTCCAACAGGGGAAGAAAATCTCCCTAGTGGAGACACGGACAGCAATAAAAGCCTGCCAAAAAGGATCTATTCTATTCCATTACCACTATATCCACAACTTTATAGCATGAAGTAGGGTTGCCACCTCATCCCTTTAAACCCGAACACATTCATTACACAGGTTCTGTGGCTGATTAAGATGGTAATTAACCACTTCAATAAGGGGCACTTATACCCCCTTCCTGCCCCAGGCCAATTTTCAGCTTTCAGCGCTGTCGCACTTTGACAATTGCGCGTTCTTGTTCATGCAACACTGTACACATATGAAATTTTTTATATTTTTTTTTTCACACAAATAGAGCTTTCTTTTGGTGGTATTTAATCACTACTGAGTTTTTTTTTTTTTTTTTGCTAAATAAAACAAAAACACCTGAAACGTTTGAAAAAAAACGCGCTTTTCTTTGTTTCTGTTATAAACTTTTGCAAATAAATAACATTTCTTCATAAATTTAGGTCATATGACGCCCAGTCACAATGGCGAGTGTCCCGCCCAGCCGTCAATCTGCTATAGGCTGGGCGGGAAAGTGTTAAACTCATAGGGCCTTATCTGCATGAAATTAGCCTCATAACCTGTGTAATTAATGTGTTCTCTTTTAAAGGGATGAGGTGGCAACCCTAGCATGAAGGCCCTTGGCAAAATCAACACACAATCTGCACAAAATGTACCAGGTTGTCCATCATTATTGTTATAAAATTACTTTTACAGATGGGGAGCGTCCTAACTGGATATATCCCTGTGATGTAGGATGATCTGACAGCTTGCCAGGAGATGACGAATGACAAGGAGATAGGGAGGTGGTTGGTTGGGCAGGGGCCATACATTGCCTGCTCTACTAGATAGCGAGAGAAGCTGCAGCTGGAGATAGCAGACCTTAGACACCCAGCCTGGAACAGACTTTGCAGAATACAGGAGTGAACAGACACTGCGCGAGGTGGAATACCCGCTCATCGTGTCCCCATGATCATCAAGGTGAGTGATTCCATTCATGACTGATGGAGATGGGATGAGATGTGAACCATGAGGTGGACCATCTTTAGAGCTCTTTGGATGAGGCCTGTAGACATAATAAAGTAACTTTCCAATATTTGCTGATCTAGTTACCATTCTCTGAGGTTTACAATATGCTTGTCAATCCGTTTTGTAAAAGTCCAGTAGAGATTGGCTTTCCACTAAATGGTGTTCCTTGGCCTTCCAGTCGTTGCATTGTTGAACAAAAAGCTTCAGTGCTTAGAGTCACATACAGGGGCCAAGTTTGCCGATCAACAGTTCTGACTTCACTTAAAATAGTTTGAAGTTTATTCTATGCTTAAGCATTTTGCCTTTTAGCTTTTTTTTTCTCTAAAAGCCAATTCAGTATTTTAGATTTCTTCTTCATTTCCTTAAGCCAACCATACATGGATTGAACTTTGTCTGGTTCAGCATTGAGCAGGGAGGATTCCCCCATAGCTCAGCGGGGAGAATTCCCCCATGCACATCAAATGTGTAGTTGGGGGGATCAAGTCAAGTTTATTTCATTCAAGCAGCTGGTTGAACAAAAAACCTAACTTACCTATGGGCTGCCCTAAAGTATATATAAAGCTTTTATTTTTATTTGGCGCAGAGAAGGGGAAGTTTTAAACTGCTGTCACTTACTTTTTTTGATGAATAGGCTGAGGAACGCAGAGGTGATAAATTTAAGAGATACAGTAAGTTGTACTCACAAAGGTTCCAGGAAATGCCAGCTAATCATGGCTGCCAAGAACAACACATGAAAGGCTTTCCAGGATGTAAATGAAGCAGTTCAAACCTTTAAGGCTTGGTTCACATCTATGCAGTTTGATTTTGATCTATTTCTGCAGTGCTTTTTGCGGTACTTTTTTGTGTTTTTGCACACACGTTTTACATGCTTTTTATATGCGTTTTTTGTGTTTTTTTTTATGCGTTTTTGTGTTTTTTTTATGCCTTTTTTGGCCAATTTGTTGTCGGGCTGTTTACAAAATGCAAAACACATCAAAACCATGTCAAAGAAAGCAATACATGCTTTTCAGTAGCATCTCCAATGAATTTTAATGAACCATTTAAAAAATTCCCTGACCCTTTCAAAAAATGTAGCATCTGAAAAAAAGCATAGATGTGAACATGTCCCATAGGAACCAATGGATTGTAGTGCGTTTCTGCAAAAAGCATAAAAAAATGCATAGTTGTGAACCAGGCCTAATGTACTCTCTAAAGGATGATCCTACAGCCTGCTCCTGCATCAGGAATAGTCTGTTTTCCTGCATTGGGAATCTGCGACATGATGACCAGCCATGGAGCGTTGGGGCAATGTTTGGCATATCAATGCTTTCTTAAACATGAGAAAAACTTGTCGTCTAGCAACCAGAACCTGGATTGTCCCTTTGCTCCACAGCTTGCAGGGTTGTGTGATTGTATCACAGACTCCAACTGCAGGGAAATGAGATTCTGGCTTTCTGGCCATGATAAACTGTAAGATCATCCATCAGAGGCTATATTAACGATGTGTACTGCTTTATTAACATCCTTCGATATGTTGCTACTCCTGGCAACCATGATTAATTTGTATATCCTGGAAGCGCTCTTAGGGCTTGTTCACACTAGCAGTTGGGGGAGTAAAACCGAGTGGTTGAGCCACTTTCTACCGCCTCCAAATGCTACTCTCTTTTGCTGCAGAGTCAGCGGCTGGGGGTGTACATATGCAAAGTATCACAGCCACAGCAGAAATTATAGCCTGTGTTGCTTTAGGGAGGTGTAGCACCTGCCGAGCGTGACCCATTCAAGCAGTTGCTGCACACTAGTGTTTAGCTCAAGGGGTTAAAGTAGGTGGAGCGCTCTTTAGAGACCAACACCTGTGTGAACGAACCGCTAAAGAAGAAATCCAGGAAAATTTTTTATTTTCCCATGCAGTGGGGCTGTGTTCGCACTGCATGGGTTAAATGCTTGTTTTTGTCTAGGGGCTCAAAGTAAAATATATACCTACCTAATCCACTGATCCTCCGAGCGCAAGACCAGCCCCTGCCACTCCCCCCCCACACGCTAGCAGTCTTGAATGGGTTGTTCCTGACGTCATCACGCCCATAGACCAGCACTGGACGTGAGGACAGCAGGAACAGTCTACCACTGGACGTGGGGGAGCACGGTTTTCCAGAGGATCGGTGGATTAGGTAAGTATACATTTACCCTGAGTCCCTAGGCAAAACGTGCGCTTAACCCATGAAGTTCTGGCACAGCCCCACTGCATGGGAAAATACAAATTATAATTTTTTTTGCATTAAAGTCATCACCTCTGTTACTAAGCTTATTGCACTACGGTGCATCCGATGTCTTCTCTTCTTCTCAGTTTGTCTGCCATCTGGGTTTCAATAAGGAGATTTCCCTTCACTTCCTACCTTGTAGACTCAACAGTAAGCAAGAGAATATCCTAGACAGTTGTCTGTCGGGAACAAGTGTCTCCATAGGAAGATTACCCCTCTCTTCCTGTTATGGTGGCAACTCAGAATTTCAGATTTATCCTCATTTTCCTGTTGACATTGGTGATCAGGACAGTTAGAGAAGGTAAAATCTCTCCATCCTTCTTTCTATATTGTGATTCGATTCCATTTTTTATTTTAGTTTTTTCTCACCGCTTTCATTAACCACTTTACTGTTACATTACAGCTTTGTTAATAGTTTTCTGAAGAAAATCCTAGAATAGGGCATTGTAAAGTTTAATCATTTCTCAGATTCTTTAAAAATAAGTACCGTATGTGATGGTTCCCATGACTGCCATGACATGTGATAATTATATAACTCGCTGTGCAGTCTATGGATGTGTGTTGGATGCTATTGTAGGTACAAGGTACCAGAAGGCCGCGCTTGGTTTTCTTGAAGGCAATTAGTTGGGTTGTTCATTTTCAGCATGATAACTTCAGCGTCATATTTGTAGGCACAGAAGACTACGCTCTTTGCAGTCTGGCATTAACATCTTTCTATGTCATTTTGGTATTGTTATTGGAGCTGTATTCACTGTGTTAATCCTTTTCGTGGAGATAATTATTAGGCTTAGCTCTATAGGGGGTTAGGGTAGGTTTAAAGAGAACCAATTACTATGGGG